GCCCTGGGGAACACCGCTTGTGACTGGTAAACCGCTTCGGGGCAGGGAACTGGGGCTTGCAGTGCTCCATGAGGTCAGTGACTGGTTCAAATGGGACGTGGTTGGCATCATCTGAATGTGTTCAGTACCAGTCAACTTGTCGTCTGCTCTTTCAGTACTCATCATCACATCTTCCTTCCCTTGACCAGAGTCATCCCATTTGTTGTTTAGTCCTATACCCTAGAACTTAAGCTACCAGTTTGCTACTGGTTTCTCTCCCCTGCTGTTCTGGGTGTTATGGTGCCGTTCCTTTCTGCTCCCCACAATCACTCACAGACCCAAGGAGCCTTAGGGTGAACCATCTGGCACTTCTCCGTGCTTCCCAGCAAAGGAGGGCCAGAGTGTCACCAATTAGTCTGTCTCATCAAAGACTGCGTTAATTGGTATCTGCCTCATTCACTCAACAAAATTCACTGAGAGCAAACACAGCAGCAGGGAGCTGAGCCTGCAGCTCTTCGAGACCCATTGGAAAAAGCAGCTCAAGGTTTCAGCAGCACCGGAGGGAATGTGGATCAGGAGCTGCTTTCCCTGCTTCAGATCAGCTCTTCCTTTTCCATCCGAAGGGATGCACAGGGAATGTCGCTGTGGGGCATCACTGGGAAAACCATCCCCACCAACAGCGTCCTGAGAAGCCGCGTGCTGCGCTGACTCCTCTTTTCCCACTGAAAGGCGCTTGTGGAAGAGGCAGCGCAGGTCTTGGCTCTTATTTTAATGTTGATAACCGAGGAGGCGTGTGGTGACTGATTGCAATCACTGTGCGGTATCAGTGAGCAAAGTGCAGTGCTATCTCACTGCCTTCCTTCCTTCTCACTGATGGGCATCAGGTCCCCAAATGCTGGAGAGCTGTCATTTTACCAGGGAGGACAGATTGGTTCTTGTGGGCGATGAGGCTGCTCCACAAGAATCCTTTCAAATAAGGGATGGGTCCAAAAGGCCACCAGGTGCTGTTCAAGAACCCAGGCTGCCTTTGAAAACCATCTTGTAGTTTGGAGGTGCTGCATCATCTCCTGGGGCCCCCGTTTCCATCGTGCTCAGGGCTGCACTTGTTCTGATGATGGCAGCCACCTCCGGGACTGATTCATCAGCCGATGGGAGCCGCTGTTTGAAGATCTGTCCCAGCCGAGCGCGAAGCAGAGCTGGAGAGGATCTGCTTTTTTGCTCCTTCTGTATTTCTCCTCTGGGTTCTCCCCTGGGCACAGAAGCCCATTGCTCTCAGGCTTTACGTAATGGCGAGTAATTAGAAATATCTTGGGAGCAGAGGGGAGAGCAAAGGAGTTTTCACTGTGGGGGGAAGCAAAACCCACACCACCCTCCATATCCGTGTTTATTCTGTAGGGGAGGAAGTGCTTAGGACCCCAGGGCTCTTTTCCCATCTCAGCATCAGCCCCTGGGCAACTGTCAGCAGAACATTTCCACCTTTGCACCGTGTGGCTGATGATGCAGACCTGGTAGCGCAGTGCCTGGAGATCAGTGTTGAAATGCAGCAGATCAGAGGCAGAATTAGTCAAACAGCAGCTACTGGGCAATGGTTTCCCAGCCCTTTTATCTCTGGAGTAAGACTGGAGTAGTGAGAAGGGCATTTCCCAGCCCTGCAGCACGTATCCCACTCCTTCCTGACCGTTTTTATTGCCATGGGAAGGGATTTCTTTCAGTCTGGCACCCTCTGGCCCTTTACTCCAAAGCTTTGTGTGTGTGCTGAGTGTTTGTGGCCTGGAAATAGGATTCCCTTGCTCCCTGTGTCCCTAGGCGAGCACTCGGGTGGTGAGGAGGTGTTTCAAGAGGTGTTTCAGAAACCCAACTGCATCCTGGGCCGCATCACAAGAAGCATGGGCAGCAGATGGAGGCGATTCTGCCCCTCTGCTCTGCTCTGCTCAGACCTCACCTGGATACTGCGTCCAGTTTGGGGTCCTCAACACAAAAAGGACATTGAGGGGCCAGAGGAGGCCACAGAGATGCTGAGGGGCTGGAGCAGCTCTGCTCTGGGGACAGCTGAGAGAGTTGGGGGTGTTCAGCCTGGAGAAGAGAAGGTTCTGGGAGGACCTCATAGCAACCTTCTAATACCTGAAAGGTGCCTCTAAGAAGTCTTAGGAAGAGCTGTTCACCAGGACATGGAGCAATAGGACGAGGGGGGATGGTTTTAAACTGGAAAAGGGCAGATTTAGGTTGGATATTAGGAAAAAGCTCTTCAATATGAGAGTGGTTGATCACTGGCACAGAGAGGTGCTGCAGGCCCCATCCCTGGAGATGTTCAAGGCCAGGCTTGGTGGGGTCTGAGCACCCTGAGCTGGTTCAAGATGTCCCTGCTCACTGCAGGGTTGGGCTGGATCAGCTTTAAGGTCCCTTCCAACCGAATTCATTGATGATTTGATGATTCTATGATTGGTGTCCGAGCAGTCAGGACTGGGCTGTGACTGGGAACAGCTCCCCAGCTTCGTCCCACAAACTGGTATGTGGCACTGGGCTGACACCAGCGAATTGGCAGCTCCCTCTTCGTAATCTCTTTCTCATGACAGCAGCGGACGCAGCCTGGCTGCAGCATAGGAGGCAGTGACAGGACCTGCCCCCCATCAGCAAATTGATGTTTTTCTCTCAGATACCAACCCCGCCATGCATTTCTCTCTTCAAGGTCTGGTCCTGGGTGCTCCCGAAGCCTGCAGCCAGTCCCCTTCTTCGCAGCCCAGCCGTGGCCTCCTGCCCTGTGCAGCCCAGCAGCCGCAGCCGCCCCAGCAGCCGCCGCCACAGCCCCAAGGGCTTCCACCCGCAGCCCCGCAGCAGCCGGCCATGAGCAACCACTTGATGTCCCAGGTGAGCCAGGAGCATCCAGGGCTCTGGTCCTGGGTGCTCCCGAAGCCTGCAGCCAGTCCCCTTCTTCGCAGCCCAGCCGTGGCCTCCTGCCCTGTGCAGCCCAGCAGCCGCAGCCGCCCCAGCAGCCGCCGCCACAGCCCCAAGGGCTTCCACCCGCAGCCCCGCAGCAGCCGGCCATGAGCAACCACTTGATGTCCCAGGTGAGCCAGGAGCATCCAGGGCTCGGGCAGCTCCTTGGACACGTGGGTGGGAGGTAAAAGCAAAGCCAGCGGATGGCTGTGGCACTCTGGACTCACCCAAAGGGGTTTTTTGGGTGTCATCGTAGCGTGTTAGGGTGTGACAGTCCCTTGTGCTGCTGGCAGGGAGCAGGAGGAGGTTGGGGCTTTGCTAGGCATGAATGCGATGCTGTGCAGCATCTCATATTGCCAGCATCATCTGTATCAGACCCAGACCCTCCTGGCAAGGTATCTGTACCCCTTTGCTGAATTTGGGAACCAGTTGTCCTCCTGGGGAGGGACCATCACCATCAGTAGGGTCTGAGGTCCTCAAGGCTAGTTGCCCAATGCCTTCTCCAGACCCTCCCCAGTTAAACTGGAGCGATTTCCAGTCTGCAGGCCTGTTTCTGAGGACGGAGCGCTGTGGGAAGCACTGGTGGCTGTCACGCCTGCGTGTTCTGCTGCTGTAAAACACCACAGCTAAGAGCCTGTGTCGCTGCAGGACTGGGGAAGGGGTGGGAGCCAGCCCTGGGGACACATCTGGAGAGCACAGCTGTGTGCAGGGGGTGTGGAGCTGGGCATGGGAGGTATCCTCAGCACCTCCCCTCCTGCCCTATCCGGATCAGCACATCAGCCTGCTGATGAGTTTTACAGGGATCCTTTCTGGTGCCTCATCTCATGCTTACGATGTCTCCTACAGCTCAGAACTGGAGGCTTTCATTATGTGACTGGACAGGGAGGATGCTGGATAATCTTATCCTTATGGGGACCCTAATGGCTCCCTTTCCCATGAGACCAGGCGATCATCTAAGGTCCCTTCTGTGATTGCAAGTGTTTTCAGTGGAGGAAATAAACCTCCTCCACCAGCTTTTGCTGCAGATAACACAAACATGCTGCGTTCTCTGTGTGAGGATGAGGGGAGCTTTTGTAGTTCTTGGGGTCTGGAGTGGCTCCGGGGTTGTGGATCTGTTTGCAGAGGATGCTGAGACTAGAGGGAGAGGTCTGGGCTCTGCAGAGGAGGTGTCTGAGGCAGCCAGGGTCTGGCTGGAGCTGCAGCATGCCACGGGACAGAGCACTGGGGGTGTGAAGGCTTCAGGATCACTTCATCTCACTGGAGTTTTGTTCTGTGTCTTCTGCTGTTTGGCTGTTCTGATGGTTTAGGTCCTGGAAAAACTTCCTTCCTGTGTTTGATTGTTGGTGAAAGGTCTGAAAATGCACTGTAGCCATGTGCCTGCACCTTCTGTTTCACCAAAGGTCAAATCCAATGATCAAAACAACAACCCAGTGCTGACCAGTACAGGTTCAGTGCCCAGAGCATGGTTTGTGGTGCTCGAGTTAGGAGTTGTCATAGACGGGCATCAGCAGTGGCAAAGTGAGAGGCGTAGGGTCAGGGTCAGGGTTAGGGTTTTGGGTTATGGTTTTGGGTCAGGGCTAGGGTTAGGATTAGGGTCAGGGTCAGGGGTAGGGTTTTGGGTTAGGGTTAGGATTAGGATCAGGGTTAGGGTCAGGGTCAGAGTTAGGGTAAGGTTTAGGGTCAGGGTTAGGGTTTTGGGTTATGGTTTTGGGTCAGGGCTAGGGTTAGGATTAGGGTCAGGGTCAGGGGTAGGGTTTTGGGTTAGGGTTAGGATTAGTGTAAGGTTTAGGGTCAGGTTTAGGGTCAGGGTTAAGGTTTAGGGTTAGGGTCATGTTTTGGTTCTGGTTTAGGGGTCAGGGTTTGGATCAGAGTCAAGGTTTTGGGTTAGAGTCAGGGTAAGGGTTTTGAGTTAGGGTTAGAGTTAGCCATGCTCGAGCATGTGGTGGAGCAAGGGGCACATGGGCTGTGCAGGGGGGAAGCAGCTCTCGTGCTGCCCGTGCCCAGAGCTGACCTGCACCCACCTGTGTCACTGTTCCTGCCAGCCAAGAGCTGCTTTGCAGACACGGTCGCCTTCCCAGCTTCCACAAAGCACCTTGCTGGGCTGTGCATCTTCACAGCGGGATGAATGCTGCCCCGGTCTGGTCTCCATGCTTCCCAACCCTCTGCAGTGCCCCCTCCTTGTGTTTGCGATGGGCTCAGTTGACTAACCTTGTTGTTCCTTCTTTCTCTCCTTCCTCCCATCCTTCCTTTCCCCTTCCCCTGCCCTTTTCCCACCCCAATCTCTCCTCCGCTCCCTTCTCTGCTGGTCGTAGCCGGTCCCAGCGCTGCAGCCTGTTCAATATTCTCCAAGCTCCTGCCCCCAAGTCCTCTTGCCAGTCTCTCCACCCCAGCAGTACAACTTGGTATAAACCCCATTTCCTCTTCTGCACTGTCTCTGTTGTACTCACGTGCTGTGTTTGTGTTGTATGAGCTTTTGCCGATCAGGTATGTCACGGACACCGCACCCGGCGGGTTCGGGGCTCCTGGAGCCTCTTGCGCTGCTGTGGGACCCAGCAGGACCCTGCGGTGCTGGGGTGGCCGATCCTGAAAGGAGCCTGGGGGGAGGACCAAGCGCCAAGCCCAGAGCTCCACCGGGAAGTGACGCCTGTGCCGAGCACCGCTGTCCAGTGGCCACAGCTGCCCCGAGGTCTCAGCCACCCCGCGTTGTCTCCGCCGGGTTTTTGGGGAACACACATGGGACACGATGGGGCCACCCCTGCCTGCGTGAGGCCTCGCATGTCACCAGTGTCCGCTGAGCATTCGGGTCCCCCCAGCAGCTCGCATGCCCCTACTCCCTGTCCTGCAGAATGCTCTTGGTCTGTGGTTGGCTTCTGGGGACCTTTCTCGGGCGAGCTCCTCCACACAGAGCAGGGAGATGGCTCAGCGATGTGCTCAGCAGAGCTGTGTCCTACGTGTCGTGTTCCTCCAATGCTGTCCTCTTCCATCCTTCCCACTTGTCCCCACTGCAGGCCGACGAGCTCAGCACCCCCTTCGGGCAGATCAGCCTCAGCCGACAGGGCTCTACAGAAGCACCAGATCCTTCCTCAGCTATGTTCCAGTCATCCCTCATCTCTCAGCATCCTCAGCAGACGGGATTCATCATGGCAACCCCTGGGCAGCCCATTCCCACCTCCAACTACTCCGCCTCAGGGCATACGGCCCCCACACAGCAGGTGCTGCAGCCCCAGGGCTACATCCAGCCTCCACAGCAAGTAAGGAGATGCATTAGCACAGAGGGGATGTGCACCTTGGCCCAAAGCTGTCGGGCTGCGGGGTAACAGCACAGGGAACAGCTCCACGAGAGCAGGTCCCCTCTTTCTGCTCTTCATTTGGGGTGATATTTGGGAATACACAGGAACTCTGGGTCTGCACGCACCCCTGCCAGGTGTGGGGTGATCTCTGCCCCGTTGTCCCTCACAAGGCACTCACCTGGGGACCCCTCTGGCCATAGCGTTGGGGTTGGGACAGTGACCAAAGTCAGAGCTGACATCCCTAAGCTGTCTTTGGGGTCCATTAGGATCTCTAGGGTTGTTCCCCTGAGCTGTGATGTGCTCTTGCACTACTGGGCTGGGCAAGGCTTGGATGTGAATGCTGGGAGGAGCAGGAAGGGGCTGCGGTTCCCTTAGGAACCATCATAAGCCCTGGTTGGTTTCCTTCAGCAGAAGCCAGGCCAGCTGAGAGAGAAAACCAGTCCTGAGGGTTCAGCTGTCTTGGTCCCACTCTTCTTGTGTTCTCACCACGATGTTTTCTTGCTTCTGACAGATTCAGGTTTCTTACTACCCTCCTGGGCAGTACCCGAACTCCAGCCAGCAATACCGATCTCTCAGTCACCCAGTGGCCTACAGCTCCCAGCGCACTCAGCAGCTCCCCCAGCAGTCCCAGCAGCCTGGTAAGGGGGTGGAGAAGTGGGGAAGGGGGCACGTTTTCCTCTCCTGCCCTTCTTGAGGATCTCCCAGGCACTTTCTGCGGCCAGGCAGCAATTCCCTGTCTACCCCTTTGCTAGACTCCAGAGTTCAGCTGCAAAGGGAAGCTGAACCTTGGCTTGGCTGCAAAGGCTGCTTTAGTCTTTTCCCTCCCTCTTGGCATGTGATATACGCAGGAAGGAAGCTCCTGGCTTTAAATCCACCTTGCAGCACCTCAGGTGGATTTAAAGCCAGGAGCTTGCCTCATTTTTTCTTTACATTTGCCATAAGGGAAGCTGTTTTCCCACTCCTTAGCAAGAGATGAGGACAAAGCTGGATTTAAGGCCTCATACACCAATCTCGGGCTGTCTCCTGCAGCTGATGGGGAAGCTGCTCCATTTAAACCCTGTTCTGACAGGTTTACAGCCAATGATGTCCAACCAGCAGCAAACGTACCAAGGTGTGATGGGGGTGCAGCAGGCGCAGCCCCCCGGGCTCCTCAACAGCCAGAGGAGCAGCATGGGGGGCCAGATGCAGAGTATGATGGGGGTGCAGCAGGCGCAGCCCCCTGGCCTTCTCAGCAGCCAGAGGAGCAGCATGGGAAGCCAGATGCAAGGCTTGATGGTCCAGTACACTCCACTGCCTTCGTACCAGGTAGGCATCGGCTGCTCTGCAATGAGGGGGGTGCTGGGGAGCTGAGTGATGGAGCCCAAAATGGGCATTTATTCACCTTGAGAAGACAGTGCATGCTGGCCAGATTGGGGAGGGCTCATCCACATTTGAAGCTGTGTCTTGAGAAGGACAACTGGGTCTAGCTGGTCCCTTTGCTGTTGTTTGCTGGGGGAAGCTGCCCCTGCCTGGCCAAGGTTGCTTTGGACTGCAGAAGCAACTGTCTGGCATCTCCTCCACCTCGTGTGGACCTCGCTGACATCTCCAGGGCCAGTTCTGCTGCTGCTCTGTTACCTCTCACTCCATAGGGCTGCTTCTTTCCACCCTGCACAGGTTCCTGTGGCCAACGAGTCCCAGAGTGTGGTCCAGCAGCCCTTCCAGCAGCCAGTGCTTGTACCGGCCAGCCAGTCTGTGCAGGGGGGGCTGCAGGCTGGGGGGGTCCCCATCTACTACAGCGTCATCCCGACCGCCCAGCAGAACGGCACCAGGTAAAGCTGCTGTGTCCCCACCTGCCTTGGGCAGAAAGGGGTCCTGCTACTCCACAGAACAGGGTCCTGCAGCCCCGCAGAAAGGGGTCCTGCTGTCCCACGGAACAGGGTCCTGCTGCCCCCCAGAAAGGGGTCCTGCTGTCCCTCTGAACAGGGTCCTGCTGCCCCACTGAATGGGGTCCTGCTGTCCCACTGAACAGGGTCCTGCTACCCCCCAGAAAGGGGTCCTGCTGCCCCACTGAACGAGTGCCCCACTGAATGGGTCCTGCTCCTGCAGCCAGAGGAGGTGGCTGGGCACCATGCACGCAGAGGTCACCTCTTGAGCCTGCCCAGTCCCAGCCGCCATGGTCAACCCTTGCTGGACATGACTGTCCTGCAGCCCAGGGCTTTTCCTGTGCTCCTCCAGCTCCGTTTCCAGCCATCTCAAGCACTGGGGGAGCTGCTGGGTGCCTGCATAGGTGGGTGGGCTGCTTCTCCCCATCCCCAGCACCTCACCAGAGCACTCTCTGCTTCACAGCCCATCGGTGGGGTTCCTGCAGCCGCCTGGCTCTGAGCAGTACCAGATGCCGCAGTCCCCATCACCCTGCAGCCCACCGCAGATGCAGCAGCAGTATTCAGGTAAGAGCAGCCCCCAGCTAGGATTGGTGCTGATTCTGCACAGATCAGAGCAGGTTTTGTAGGGGCTGCAGTGAACAGAGCTGCAAATTCACCACCGAGTGTGTGTGCAATGGGTTTCTGTGGTCTTACCCATCCCAGGGCCCGCTGGGGGTTACAGGGATGTGGCACAGCGACTGCTCCAGGCTGGTGGTGGCCTGTGCCTGTGTCTTGGTGCCAGGGTGGGCTGCTGTGGGCTGCGCACTCCCTCTGCTGGCAGAGAGCACCATCAGGAGTCCTGGTCCTGCTCCAGCTGCAGGAAAGGGACCTGAGGCCTGGTGAAGAGCTGGAGCTGGGGTACCCAAGCTGTTCTTTGCCTGAAGTTTTGCTGTGGTGCTCAGAGAGGTCACCCGAGTCACCTTCAATGCATCTCTGCTTGCATTTCTCCTCCATGAAAACTCATCACTCTCTGATGTGAGCTGTGATATCAGCCCTGGGTGTTGGTGGGGCCGTCTGTAGCCCACCCAGGCAGGCAGGAGCATGTGGAGGGGGTGTTGTAGGGATGGGCAGAGGCTGCCTCCTGTCCCACAGCAGCAGCAGAATGCAAAGCATGGGCAATTCTGCTGTCCTCTGTTCCCAGGGGTGTCCCCGTCCGGCCCTGGCGTGGTTGTGATGCAGCTGAATGTGCCCAACGGCCCCCAGGCCCCCCAAAACACCCCTGTGGTGCAGTGGAGCCACTGTAAGTACTACAGCCTGGAGCAGCGGGGGCAGAAGCCAGGAGACCTGTACAACCCAGACACCAGTGCTCAGGTACCCAGAGGACTGCGAAGAGGGGAGCTCATCTTTCGGGAGAACAAGGACCCCCCCTGCATCCGTGCGGGCTGGGAGATGGGCTGGGGTCACCCCACGATGCTGGGACGAGGGTGGGACCGCTCACAACCCCCAGGGCTGTCTAACGCTGTCCCTCCCGCAGGCCAGCACCCAGCTGAACAGCCCCATCACCTCCCCAACCCAATCCCCGACGCCGTCTCCTGTCACCAACCTCAACAGCGTCTGCACGGGGCTGAGCCCCCTCCCTGTCCTCACGCAGTTCCCCCGGCCCATGGGCACGGCACAAGGTGAGGGAAAGGAGCCGGGGTAGCGTGGGGCTGGGTTTTCCTTGGGATTTCTTCAGATCCCTGTAAGCCTTTTTGCTTCCCCTCCGCAGGTGACGGGCGCTACTCCTTGCTGGGCCAGCCGCTGCAGTATAACCTGTCCATCTGTCCCCCGCCACTGCTGCACAACCAGCCCAACTACAATGCACACCAGGTAAAACAGCCAGACCGCCCCATCACTGCCTTGGGGGCAGAATGAGACCCAGGGGCAGTGAAGAAGCGAGCTCACCCCTTGCCCTGTGCTCAAACTGCCTGCCCCGTGCTATGCATCCATTCGGCAGAGCTGCCATTGCAAATTGATTTCCCCAGAGCTAAAATTGTGTCCTGCTCCCAGCTTTGCCTGGAAGCGGTGTCAGCCCTGGGGGCTTTGAGTGTCCTGGAGCTGTGGCTGTGCCTTGCTCTCATCTGACTGACCCCAGCATGGTGGTGTCACCCCAAAAAGGGTGCGAGGTCCATCTGGGTGCCTCCATTCCCTTGCACAGCCACAGCCCCATCAAGTTTGGTCTCCCCCAGCTCCCAGGACGCTGTGTGGTCTCACGCTGCCGTTTCTGTTCCTTAAGGGGCAAACTGGAATGAAGCACGGAAACCGGAGCAAGAGACAGGCCCTGAAGTCAGCATCCACTGACCTCGGGACAAGCGATGTAGGCAAGTGCCCCTCCTTGAACCCCTTTGCCCTCTGAGCATCCCACAGCACCCATTGCTGGGGAGGGGGTTGTCCAGAGCCCCTGCACCCCCCAAACACACAAACACCCCCTCTCCACATGACGGGGTGCAGCAGAGCCAGTTCCAGTTTGCTCTGCCCACTGGGAGGACAGGGATTGCTCAGGAACCCAGCAAACGCCGCCTGCACTGAGCAGAGCTTTCGAGGAGGATGTGGAGTGGGTGTTTGGAGTCAGTGCTGAGCTCCAAGACACCCAGGCCCTATTCCTGCATTTGGAGGGGGTGAAATGATGGAGCTGGGTGGAACTGGCTGAGCTCTGTGGGGTTTTGTTCCTCTTTGACAGCAGAAAGCGAATGTCCAGACCCCTGAGGTCTCCTTCCCACCGTTGCCTTCCCAATGACCCGTCAGGAGCTGCAGAACCTTGCAAAAGGCTCTGGGATCTTCCAGGGGTGGCTGCGAGGGCTGAAATTGGAGAGAAATGACCCCCTGGCACAGGGGAAGGGGCTGTTCCTCACCCTGGAACAGGGGTGATGGGGAGCACAGGGCTGGCTTCTCCCAATGCAGCACTTGCTGCTTGGGTCTAAGCCCCCGTTCTGGGGGTTCAGACTTGTCCCCAGTGTCCCCTCCATGTCACCACCAGCAGCGGGCTGCAGGGGGGCCCTTTAAGAGCCCTTTCCCGGATTGCTGCCCCCATCCCCTCCCCGCGGCTGGCGCATTCGTGACATGCCACGTTAATATTAGCAAAGAATCCATTCAAGCAGCCCTCTGCTAAGCCCGAAAGCCGGGGCTGGAGCCAGGAGGCAGCAGGAGAGGTTGGGTACCAGAGCAGAGGCTGAGAGGTTGGTGTGGGCACAGAGGGGGATCCTTCCCATGGGTGACAGGGCCCAATTTGGGATCCACATGTGTCAGCATCATCTATGGGTGCAATCCTTGATGTCCCCCATGGGTGCAGTCGTTCTCAATGTCCCCTATGGGTGCAATCCTTGTTGTCCCCCATGGGTGCAGTCATTCTCAATGTCCCCTATGGGTGCAGTCCTTGATGTCCCCCATGGGTGCAGTCATTCTCAATGTCCCCCATGGGTGCAGTCGTTCTCAATGTCCCCCATGGGTGCAGTCGTTCTCAATGTCACCCATGGGTGCAATCCTTCTCCCTTCCAGGAACAGGGGCCAGGAGAGCTGGGGTAACTCCAGTCCTGGTACCCAAAAATTAGGCTGGGAAGAAGGGGCCCAGCACCTGGGAAAAGCCAGGTCTACTAAAGGAAGCCAAGGGGGTCGTGGTGCTTTAGGGCAAATGGGAAACGCCAGTGTTGTCTTGAAGCAAGGCCGTGGTGGGGACCAGGAAGGGTCAGGATGGGCCCTGTGGGGGCAGTTTGAGGGTAAAGAAGTGTCTGGCTTCAAAAAAACACATCACTAATGCAGGGGCAGCTTAGCAAAGCGAAGCAGAGGCGACCGCTCCAGCCCTGGAGCTGGTTCGGAGCCCATGCCTCGCTGCTGGCACCCAAAACCCCGC